CCCAGGTTGCTCAGAGCTCCATCCAACCTGGCCTTGAGCTCTTCTAGGGATGGGGCATTCACACCTTTGGGCAACCTGTCCCAGTGCCTCATCACCCCACAGTAAAGAATTTCTACTTTGACTCTAAACTCACCTTCTTCCAGTTTGAAATCATTCCCCTTGTCCTGTCACTACACACCCCTGTAAACAGTCCATCTCCAGCCTTCTTTAGCTACTGGAAGGCTGTAAATAAGGTCTTTCCAGAGCCTGACCTTTCCTAGGCTGAACAACCCTAGCTCAGTCTTGTCCTCATGAGAGATACTCCAGCCCTTTGACCACCTTCATGGCCTCCTCTGGACTTGCTCCAACAGGCCCACACGGCTGTTACATTGGGGTCTCAGGGCTGGAAGGAGCACTCCAGGTGGAGCCTTCCCAGAGCAGAGGAAATCACCTGTTCTGTGCCCCAGCATCAACTACTCCTGTTTCTTATGCGTGTGCTGGCAAGGTCAATTTTGCACTCCATTTCTCAACAGAAGAGGTAAAGCATGGACTGTGGAAGTGTAATTTCCTCCTCATAGGCCTAAAGCTGGATCTGTGAAAAGGAACGGTAAATTATGAGAACGAAATCCACGAGCATACAATCCTTCATCTTTCATGGAGGTGTATTGAAAGCCTCTCTTCTTGGTGGCATATATCCCCCAGAACAACTTCCCACAAGTTATTTCTGGTAGCCTTGTTTGATTTCAAGGCATCTGAGATGAGAACAAGATCTCTGTCCTGCTTTTCTAATTCTGTCCTCTTTAGGGCCACATCAGTTCTATTCCCCATAAAACAAAGAAGATTTAATTTCTACAACATGTTGCAATTTATGGTAGTGAGAAAAACTGTAGTATATTTTACATAAGAGATTAATATGGTTAATGTCAGTTTGCACAAGCTGGAATGGGATTCAGTAAAATGATAGCAATTTAATTAGTTTTAAAGCATATAGATGAGAATTACACCTAAAGGGCAAATGTAGCATGACATTTTTTTTTTCTTTTTATACAAACTAAACAGTTCTGTAAAACTGGCCTTCTCATACATTTCTGTTCCTCTTTGAATGCAAAATCAACTCCTGGTGGGAAACATTCTTCAGGCCTTAGTTGAAGACAGAATTATCTCAAGCTCCATGCTAATAGTAACTGTCCTTCAGATGAAAAAAATATTAAAGAGATTGCCTGGGAAAAATAGGAACAAAAGCTGCCATGGGTTTAGAACTAGAGAAAGTGCCAAAAAGAGCAGGGAAGAGCTTTTGGTTACCCTGCAAAATCTTTATTTTCCAAAGTGCAAATGAATGAGGGATAGGCCTAGAGACTTCCAGTGGGATAGATGTGCACTCCACTGAGACCATGCTTTTGGATTTCTGCATAAAAGCAGCTGTTTTCCCTGATTATCAAGGATCAGTACTTCTTTGGTAATCAGTAGGCAAGTAATTTCTTTATTTTTTAAGGAATAGAAAGCAAATCAGTGTAAAGAGCATTCACCAGTCCTGCAGAATAAATTCTGAAATGCAGAGATACGTTTGGTGTTTTCTATTATAAAAGTAATTATCAGAACAAGAAAAATGTACAGGCTGAGTATTACATTTCTTCCGCCAAAATGTATGCTGCTCATCACTGCTGTGGACAGAATTTGCAGGTAACTTGGTAAATAATTGTTTTCATAATTGTACATCCAAAGCTGGTTGATCTCTCAGAAAATTCCAATCGGAAACTGTTCCTGCTTCCCACTTCTCCCCACAATCAAATTTGTTTCCATCCAGGGCTGTTCATAAAGCTACAGTTCTGTCAGTAGCAGAGATGCATCAGTTCCTAGCTCAGGAGTTCTCTGACACATAGAACTCTGCTGACCTGCCCTGTGGTTTGGAAGGCTGGAGACTCAGGCAGGGCAGGCAGCTGGGGACACTGGGACCCTGCAGCAGCCTGGCAGCTCTGTGTGCCACACTCTGCTGGGGGAGTTTGCAAAGCCATCATCTTATGCAACTTCCTTCAGTGTGTCTGCTGCTGCCTGCACAGTGAAGGCTGCAATGGAAATCTGCCTCTTCACTTCTTCCCAGGCTTCATGTTGATCAGCTTTGCTTTCGATATCAAACATGGCATCATAGATTCCTGGGAAGGATTCTCCTGCATATTTGTTGCGGCTGCTTGGAGCAAAGATAACATGTCTATGGGAAAAGAAGAAAAAGGCAATTATCCTAAATAAAATAAACTATTGATGAAGTGTGTGTTCATTGTGTGTGTACTATATAAAACAGCTATGAATCCCAGGAAGATCAGAACTTACTAAATATACAGGAAAATTCGTCTTTAAAAGGACAGGAACGGTCACAAGAGCAAAATCTATTGGAAAGGGCACAGATTTAGGTCAGGTAGCCTACTCCTTGTGAAGAGATGACATATTTGTCTAATTAGGAACAAAATCATGTTACGCTTTTTAAAAATGAGAGCTCAACAAACTTTTCAAAGTAATTTGCCAGTCTGGAACAGGGAATACAACTAGTTATAGATGTGTTGTGAGAAATGGGATAGATACCTCAAAAACAATTAAGTAGCTGCATAACGGTCAGGAGATTACTTACCTTGGAAAGGAATTTAAAAGGAGGGGGAAAAAAATCTGTGGGTGAATTCTTGAGAAAAGCATGAATTCTTCAGAAAAGAAGTGATCATATTGGATCAGAACTGCACAAAATATCAATCTTATTTTTTGGTATAGTTTTCTTCCCTAAATAATTAATAGCTGCAGATCTGCAATTAAATTGATTTTAACTATGAAGTATCAAAGCACATTTACACTACATGAAAGAGTCCTCCTATGAAAACGAAACATTAAAATTACTTTAATAAATGCAAGCAAGTAAGAACTAATAATAAAAAAGCCCAGAGAGCTCCAAATGATACCAAACACTCAACAAGAAAATTTCTAGAAAGGAATTACTTCATTCTTGTCAAAGTGTGAGTGGAAGTTTATCCTAGGAGGATGGAAGTGCAATTCTCAGTTCTACCTGCCTGAAAGACTTCTGGCATGGTGTGAAAGGCATCCATCAGTGAATCAAACATATCCGGTTGTTAGGAAAAGGGGGATACTGAAAGCAAAGTGAGGTACTTACACCCCTGACACTGAAAGCTGGCATCTTGTCAGGTATTCCTAATAAAAGCACTGGGTTTCTAGAAAGGATATAGTAGTTAGTGGTTTAAGCTTTTTGGAGCACCTATAGAAGCAGCCAAAGCTGGGACAGATGGGGCTCTGTAGCACAGCTCACAGGCCTTTATCCTGTGCTGGAGGGTCCTTCCCTCTCCAAACTCTCTCCAAGCTCTCCCTTCTTGGCTTCTCTGTTCAACTGACCCTCACTACGCATCTGTTCTCATTTACTCTACCCTATTTTCACCTTTCTTTTCAATACAGTTCATTAATTCTCCACTCAATCCTCTCTTTGCAGACGATCACAAGAGAAAATTGTAACAGCAAAAGTACTGCATATCTGCAAGTAAAAGTCAGATTAAAATGCTGTTGTGGTTTAACCACAGCTGATAAAGAGAGCCAAAAGAGAGGAATTTGGCTCCACAAGACTGGTATAGCCAAGTTCTCCTTAAGGGTTATAAACAAAATCCACTACTCGCTGAATTGTACTTAAAGCAATGTGTTGAACTGTAATTCCTGTGAAACCCATACAGCAATTCAACTGCAGTCAGCTGCAAAAATAGGGTGCCTTAGACAGCAGGTCAAGAAACTTTTAGCCTCACCTGTAAAACTTCCTTCCTGGCAAGCCCAGAGGATCAGTGAAAGCTCTTTCTACTAACATCAGCTGATCGTTCATGATGCGCACTGCAACTGAACTGCAGGAGAGTGAGACAGAGAAATGTCACACAGCGGGGAAACATGACCTCCCGGTTTCATTTGAAACACTTCTCTTTTTTTTTTTTTTTTTGACAGAAAAAGAGAAAAAAAGACAAGTGTGGTCTACAGTTCACAAGAAAAGGTGAGGTTTTGCAAATGGAGATGCTGAATCCATGTTATATTAATGAATTGATATTTCTGTGTTAGAAAACAACATTTCACGCTGTGCAAAATAAAATGGGAAACTTTCTGAGAGTGTCAGATACTTCCTTAGTGTTAAATGGCTCTGGAAAGATGTCACTTAACAGCGGGAAGAAGAAGAATGAGATTTACACAGATGTAGATAGCTAAATTTTGGTACCCACCCATAAGCCAAATGTCCATAGTCCTGTTCCTATCTACACATAACATAGTAATGATGAGATTTAGCTGCCTAAACACAACTGGTACCATATGTGGCCTGCAGTCACAGCATTCAGAGGGCACAGGAGCCCTTCAGGGGCCTTAGGCTCTCAAGCATCATATGTACACCTCAGATATTCTGAAGCATCATCCTCTGTCTTTGAAGTGTGCTGAAAGTACAAATTCTAGCATCACCTACAACACTCAAGTGTAGGTGTCTAAGTAGAGATCTCAGTCCAACTCTTAACGTTCATTGCTACCTGCCTTTCCATGTATTACTGTAATTTTAATGCCAACCTGGTACAAGCAATAACCTCTACAGCTCATACTATCAACCACAGGGAACATTCTTGTATCTGCTAATTCACCTTAAAAGATACTGCCTGTCTCAGGGTTCAGAGCTCTGTTCTGCACTAATCAGAGAAAATCCTTCTGTAGTAGAAGAAATAAAGCACTGCCACTCTGCGTACCTAAGGCTAACCAGGACATAAATATATACATATACATTACTCTTTTTTTCTGACTTACTCTTTCTTGTCAACTTGTTCAAGTCTTCTGTGAAATTCAGCAGCAGCCTTTGAAAAGTTCATCACAGCAGAAAAAAGAGGATCTATGAACAGAAAGACTACATGAACAACTTCATAGTATTCACTAAGCCAAATGTACCTTTCAGTTGCCCAGTGGGAGAAGAACTACATTTGTCTTGCTGATATAATAGCATTAATTTTGTCATTTTTACATAATTGATTGGTATCCCTAATGCAGACTTTAAAGAGCTGCACTACTAGCAAATACTTTTTTGCAACAAGACCAACAGTAAAGCAGACTGCTTGGGAAAGCTTTCTCAACCATAAATCTTCCTTCTGCCTTGCAGGCAAAAAATTGGCTGTCATTGCAAACTGAGAGCTCTGCAGTTTCCTGTTTAACAAATGCACTGCAGCATTCAGGTATAAAAAGCCTGACTTCCATCAGAAATACCAGCTGTTCGAGAAGGCTGTGGAAAAACATCAGGATTTCACTCGAGGAGAAAGATTTCCCATTCACAGCACAGCAGGAGAGTGTGATACCTGCGCTGAGCAGTGTGAGGTGAGGCACAAAAGGCACAGCTGTCATGGCACACAGGGACAGACACAGCAGGTTAAAGCAGCCAAGTCCTGTGCTTGTTGGGCGTTGGAATTGCAGCACAGGAGGTGCCTGTGCCACATTCCCCTGTGCTGCCCCACAGCACTGCCATTCAGACCCCAGGGATTGCCTGACTGTGTGCAGGCAGGTGGGCAGGAATGGCTGCTGCTTTTTCCTGCCCTGACCCAGCCCAGTACATCTGAGACATGTGGAATAACTTAGAGAAACAGTAGTCCTTCCTTTTAATGGCAATACCAGCTGTGATAATTTTCTTTTGGAAGGCTCTATTTAATACAGACCTGGGGAAAGTATTGATTTATGCAAGTAGTTTTTGTAGAATAAATCACAGGTGGATGTTACGATGCCAACTTCTGGCCCCACCAAAACTCAACTCAATTAGGAAAAAAAGACAGTTTAAAACTTGTAAATTTTGCCCACAAGTTTCAGAAAACTTTGGCTAAACCAGAGTATCCTCTCTTTAATTGCTCAGGAAGATGGGACATACTATCAGATCATCCCCTAAATCCAGTCCTCTGTTGGCAACTATTAACCCATCACTGTTTATAGGTTTATCACCCAATTTCACGTGACAGGCTTTCTGTTCCCTGGACTCCTATTGAAAGCTGTTCCTCAGATTCATTTGCTCTTCTATTTCTAGCAAACTTATTTATTCATCACAAGCCTACACTGGCTTCATTTTTGTCTTATTGCTGTTGCTTAGTTGGTGCAATTGGAGGCACAGATTTTATGTATGCAAGCTGTTTACAGACTTGCAGCTCAGAGGGACAAGTCACCTTGTGAGGATGAGAATTCACACTTACCCCAACCCTCTAAGGTTTCCAGGGGTCAGAGTCCTGCCCTGCTGACATCATGGCCATATCACAACAACAGATTATATTTCAGAAGGAGTAGGAGGGAATTTAAGAGTGAAAAAAAAAAAAAAAAGACCATCTGAAAAATAATGCAAGAAACTTTGTGTTCATGGTCACTAGCTATTCAGTGTTGTCAATGTTGGTTATTTTAGAAAACATCACATTTCTTTTTTCCCCACTTGAAAACATTATTTCCTGATAGCATATGACTACAAGCACAGATTTTAGGAAAAAAAGGTTCTATTTTCATTGTTGCAGATAAGCAGCTAAAATGTGAATCCAAATGCAAATAAGGACCTTAATATATTATTTTAAAGGACATTTATATGATTTAGTCAGGCTTAATCAACAATTTTCTGACATTCAATGTTGACAATAAGCAGTTCTATGAAAATGTTGAGTGAAATAGATTTTAATTTTCACAGTATTGTAAAACCTACCTATGTTATTTTATGTATTCTGGTGCAATACAATAAATAAAAAATTAGAAAACATGGCTCCATTCAACAAGTAATTTAAAATTCATCAGGCATCAGAGAAGAGCCATGAAAATAATGATAAGACTGAAAAACATGCCTTGTAAAAAAATAGTCAAAATGACACATTTATAAAGTTATTAAGGAGAGGTCTCAGTGTTATTTGGGTGAAAAAAAAAGCTAAAAATAGAAGATTGCTTCTAGATTCTAGGAATGAGAATAGATGCATTTGTCAGGAGGTAGTTTATGTGGCTTTTAATCTGAAAATAGAAACTCAAACAATAAAAGTAAATGACTTCACAGATATTTTGATAGATGTTCTACAACTGCAAAAAAAAAATAGATTTGAACTTACATGCTGCAATGAGCACTAGAACATATTGAAGTAACTCTTGGTGTTTTACAGAATCTCAGACCAGATGATCCATCACACAAGATGTTTCCTCTGTCTCAAAAGGCCTTTTTACAAAAAAGGGTGTCTTTTAAAAATTGTTTAAAAATTTTCACCAAAATCATTACATGACATTTCAAATGTAATTTTTAATTTCCCCCAACTGTGGGTTCAGTTTGAGTTACTTACAATATTTCACACACTCCAAATGAGAACTGCATCTCCAAAAGCTGATTTCTTTCTCTAAATCATGGGTTCATCAGATAGCAAGTGAATTAGGACTGACTGAAAAATCTCCTTGGTGCAGAAACACAAAGAGTGATCAGGGCAAGAAGGAAAAAACAAACAAAAAAAGAGGAGACTGAAAACAGCTGTGGAAGCTATCCCAGCCTGGGATCCTGAGCACTCTGCCACTTTAGACCTGTTTTATGGGGTCCAGAACAATGTGCTCAGGTGCTCAGCAAATGGATGTATTCATGCAGGAGAGATGGAAAAGTGCTCCTGTGGCTTAAAAATGGCAACGAGGCACTAAGGGAGATGGTGATCCTCCCCAGGGTCAGATGAAGTTTTGGATGAAGAGGAATGGACACCTATGTCCCTCAATTTCCAAGCAGCTGCCATAAGCACTTGTCTTCTTTTTTAAGCAAGGAAGTGAGGACCAGGCTGAGATACCTTTTTGTCCTATATTTGAGGTCCTTGACTGCCCATGAGCACTCTAATAATGCCTGTAATTAATAATATGCATGAAAATTCTTATAACTCTCTTATAAAGACAATAATGTGCTAAACTTGTGTTTAGAAAAAAAAAAAATTACTTTACTGTGATGGCAAAATTCAAACAGGAAAGAAAGGAATTAATTTGCAGAGCTATGACAGATGTAACACGTCCCTGCATGATTCTAATTGATGCACATAATGCCCAGTCCTGTAGGTGTTACTCACCAAATGATACTTTGTAAAGTTTCAGCTGTTCTTCATGCTTCTTGGCCAGTTTAGAAATTCTGTTGCTGTATCCTTTTAAGGCTTCTCCATAGTCTGTAGAGTTGAATGGAATGACCTGGGAATCTGCCAGTTCATAAACCAGTTTGCCTCGTAACTGGGCAATTGTTAGCTGTTTTATGAAGGTGGGGTCATAAAATTTTTCCACTAGCTCAAATGTCTCATATACAGTGTGATAAACAGGATAATTGCTGAATTTGTCTGCTTTCTGGAAAAGAGCAAGCAAATTTGTCAATGCCCTGTATTCTGACTGCAGTTAATAGATGTATTGATCCCATTACAACTTTGATGTTTTCTTTGGTTTCCAAATCAAAAAAGCTATTTGCTACAAAACACAATTTAATATCCTTCATTTGGGTGTGTTTGTATTAGAAAATTGAACTAATCCAAATCCATGGACTGTTGCACAGGATTAAGTGGGCAGGTTTCCTTCTCTCTACCCACATAGACCTGCCTTCAGTTCCATTGCACAGAGGTTGCCCTCTCCAAGAGTGAAAACAATTTGGAGTTTGGATAGCAAAAGTCCTCAATCATAGCCCTTTTTACCTTGTGTAGCTATTTCTGAACACAACTATGGAAGATTTGTATATTAAGAGGACTATTAATAGCATGATGGAACAAACTATCCACCTTCAATCAAACTCTATAAATACCTCTCTGTGAACTTGACATCCTATAGAATATACACATCACTGTAACATGCTTTATTCTCCAAACATTTAGGTTTCTTGCTAAATTAAGAAACGTCACTGATATAAAAACCAGTCAAAGATGCTTTGAAGCTTTTTTATTAATTATTAATAAATGCTTTTAACTGGATGACTGCTCAGCACTATCAAACTTCTTCAAGCAATCTGTCAGACTTACCCTATTTTTGGTGTAACGAGCTCTGCCTGATGCAATTCCCAGTCGCTGGAAGTAAGCTTCAAAATCACTGCCTGACCCCAGTTTATTTATTCTGCATGCAGAAAAGACAACATCTTAGTGAGAGCACTTACTGAACAGTATGGTAGTAATTTATGCAAAATGCAGATTTTTAAGAGAAATTGAGGTCAGTTCTTCTGAAGGGCACATCAGGGACACTAGCAAGATCAGAGACTAGATGAATGGCAAGCTTAATTACTTAACTGATTTTATTCCAACACTCTGATTCAGTATCCAATATTGCTAGGAAGATCTTTTAATTGTAGCAATCCTAATTACGGCAGCGATGACATTAAAAATACAAACACTTTATGCACAGGAGCCATAAAATTGCATCAGGCATGTCTCTGCCGTCTTAAAACATCAATCATCTATTTCCAAACTAATAGGAATTGGGCAGCAGTATGTGTAAAGACAGATGTGTTTGTGTACTTGGCACACTCCGCAGCAGAATCCAAGAGCGATAAATGGTTCCCTGCGCGAAAGGCGCGGGCGGCGCTCGGCACCTGCGGGCGGCCGCTGCCATCTGATGGGGAGCTGCGGCGTGGCAGGGCAAGGGAGCGGCACTAGGCAGACCTAGCGTTCCAAGTATTTTCAAATATTTACGTTTGAAGTTAAGCATTAGGTTTATATGTCTGGCCTGATGAATAATTACTGTTTCTTAACTACAAAAAAAAAAAAAAAAAATCTGTTTCAGCTGAAGTTAGTGTACATTTCTGTAGGGAACTATGTGCATCGACTAAGAAAGATCAAATCTGGCAGCTTTTTCAAAAGGAAGAAATCTCAGTGAGCCTGATGAATCCCGAAACTCAGCAGAGCCAGAAACATGCAGAAGACTTTTGTCAAATCACAAAAAGGGGCAGTTCTGTTTACCTTATGTCAGTAACGCCACACTGTGAATAAGATTTAGCCTGAGTCACAGGTAGAAAAAGTGTTTTGGAGTTGTAATACCTTCAAATATGAAGTGTTAATACATTCATATATAGATTTGTAATGTAATACATTTACATTCATTGTATAAACAAGGAATAATTATCCCAAGTTTTTTAATTACTGCTTTAGGCAGCTTCTTTCAACTGTTTGCTTATTCTAATAATTTTGATTTTATCTTATCTAGTAGGTGACTAAACTATGTTTTGAACTCTTTCCCCACCCTGCTTTTCTTTAATGCTTTTCAAATTGCTTTTCTACTAATAGAAGGGTCTTTAGAAAGTGTGTGATTTCATAATGTCAACATAATTAAATAAAAATAATAAAATTTTATTTTATTTTACTATAAAACATACTGCTAGAGAGTCACCTTGTGCTAAAAGGTTTTGTATTGCTGCCATAAATAGCACATCTAAAACAATTCTGGTGAGTAGCCATGCCATGATGTGGTTAAAATATTAGGGTAAAAAACCCTGAAACATATTAATAACTTACCTGGGATAGCTATTATTTTCAGATGCGGGATCTTTCTCAAGCCAGCTCTCATAAAGAGATTTATTTTCATAACCCTCATCAGGGCTTAAAATCTGGAGAGGGAAATATTATAATCTCATTGGAAGTACCTCTGACTCGATTCATTATCAAAGGAGATCTTTGCAGCTCCCTGCTTTGTTCTTAACCAGCAGTGTTGCTGCATGCAGGGAAGTGAATACTGACATTTGTTACACACATTTACGCATTCCCAAGCAAGGAAAGCATCTCACAGGCACTTGGAACCAACCACAGACAGTAGGAAAGAGCAGGATAAAAGGATGCTACCTGGAGCTCATCTGCTACAGGGGGAATGTGTGTGTACACACAAGAGCATACATACTATGGGACTCCTCCAGAAACTAGAACCTGCTTTCTTTCAGCAGGCATGGGGAGATGACAACACAACAGAGGTTTTCCCTGTACAGCAGCAATATTCTCTCCACAAGGCTAAACCTAACATTTGGCTGCTTCTGTAGGAAAAGTACAAAAGAATTGTGCTAGAAGGAAGGGTCCAAAGCAGTCATATTGTAGCAGTTCCAAGGGGACTCAACAAAGCCTGGAGAATCATTGTGCAGGACACTGGATGTATAGATGTAGGTCTCACCCTTACCTCAAAAAAAAAAAAAACCAGAAAACCAAAAGCTCTGTAACCAGGATGGAAAAAAATAAGTATTAGTGCTGTCATCATGCTGCCAGCAAAACTGTGAAAGAGTGCAAGATAAGTTGACCAAAGCTCTTAGAAAATCTGTGGCAGAGTAGAAATAAATCAGGACTCCAACCCTGGTCTCCAACTACGCTTAAACAACCTTTAATAGACAAGGTCCTTTAAGTATAAGATTGGTTATGATGTGAAGAGGATTGGAATTTTGTTTTTTTCCAAAATACAAAGCATAAATGTTCATGGACACTTACATAGTCCCACCATGTTGCTGAGACTTAAATTCGGCCTTGAAAAACAGCGACTACAAATTGAAATTGCAAAGAGTTCTGACCTCTGAGATTCTGTCAGCAGCTAGCAAGAAAATAACAACTCTGTGAAATAACTGCTTGGCTGCTGTCATTTTCAGGGTACTCTGGTCAAGTCCTAGGGCTTAAGTGAAAACTGCACATTAATAAGAGCAAGCTGAACTCTGACATATGGGAGCAAAAGCATTCTATGCTCTGGCAAAGATATTATTCTAACAGCTCTGGTCATGTAAAAAAACATTGGTCAGCTTTTTCATACAACACTGAGAGCACAGTAAAACATAATATTTGCGCTGACTTAGATCCAAATCTAGGATCAGCATAAACTTCCTGCTAACTCAAGAGAAGATGAGGAGTTCTTTAAGTATAAATGCAAAACAAGCGCTGATAATCACAGGGGAATTGAACTATTGCAGACACCATTTGGTGGTGACCAAATGTCTAAACCCTGGCAGTAAAGCAGGGCCAAAAACACAGTCAACAGCTCAGTGTCCCATCTACATGCTGGATCACACTGAAATGCAGAACTCCCTGAAAGAAAGCACTTCATGTGTACGCTACACATCTTTCTGGTGAGAGTTGGCTCACTAAAAAACAAGAAGAGCAAAGAATGTTTGGATGTTGGACACCTTACTATGAACAGAAATAACTTTCCTTTGGACAGGCATAATCAGGCTGCCAGGTTTTCTAGTGTTTACACCACGCTTCTACTGTTAAAAGCTAAAATAACAGTGAATATGACATTTATTTTTACAAGTCAGTCTCAAGTACTTTGCATGGTACTTTAGTGGAAGTTTTCTACTCAAACCAGCAACAGCTGAATAGTTGACTTAAGATCAAAAACTTGGTACTATTTTTAGCCCAGAGCACTTATTTTGTAACTTAGTTAATCTTTTGCAATAAAATGTCTTCTTGAGTTAGCAGCTTACTGCAGACAGAAAGTAAATTATTTTATCAATGGCCCTGCAACACTAAGGACATGAAAATTTTTATAGACAAAAAAGACTGCACTTCAATATGCTGAGTATCAGAGCTAATATTTGAGCAGCACAATTTCTTCCCTCTGCAAGAATGACAGATTAAGATAGAAAGAACTGATAGGAAAATAAAATGTACGAAAGAAAAGAAATTCATGGGAATAGCATAGATAAACTTCCCCAGACCTAAACCATGGCATTTCAGGTGGTAAAAATGTACTTTGTTTGAAAATAACTTAGGATGAATGCATCTAGCAGGATGGGAGATTGGTACCTGGAGTCATCCTACCAGGTGCCATTACAGGGCAGATTTTTACACTGGACCAAGTGACCTTAGTTCCCCTAATATCAGAGGGGGAAATAATTTGAGTTTGGTACATACTAAGGTAGACAACCACATTTGGTCAAACAAATCTCATCCTAAAGGCACCAATTTCTACCCAATGCCTTTACAGGGAACCTGTGTTGCTTAAGTCAGACAGAGCTGTCTGCTGTTAATTGTGACAAATCCTCATCTGAGGATGGTGGCAATGACTCATGGCAGGAGCCTAATCTGGTTAACTCATGGAAAATAGAGTTCCATGCTTTAATGGATTACAACCTTTCAGCCTTATGGTAATGTATCCTGAGAGGTGAAAGTAAAGGAGTCATGGTTAAACCACTTGAAACAATGAAAATCCATACATCAGACCTGTTAAAAACCCTTCTTAATCCTTTAATATTTATCACATATTTCACGGGCTCAGTGAGATATGGAGGAGATTCAGGGGAACAGACAGAGAAAATGGTAGCCAGACAATGTAAAAAATATTTCTCTTCAATGTTTATAACTTTAGAGAATTTATCTTGCTCAAGCATTTTATTATTATTTTTATTATTGTATTATTATATCAATTATTATTTTTACTGTATATTGCAAATAAGATTCCACTTATTTCAGTGACACATCCTCTTAAGAATATTGAGGACTGTGAGCATGGACTGTGTACTGCTGATGGGATGTTTTGCTATTGATTTTGGTGGGATCAAGATTCTTCTGGCACAGCAATTAAAAAAAATCTGGTATTATTCAATAGTCCAATTTTATAAAATAAACTTGGAGTCTTACTTATTCTTAGAAAGGCAGAAAAATAGATGGATTCTGTACCTCTTTTGTCAGATTATACACCAGTTTGTAGAGAAGAGGGGAACAGTCAACTCTTAATGTGTAGTTACCTGAAAATAAAACAAAAACATGGAAATTTTCCCTTCATATACTAGTGGCATTATCTTCTTAATGGATTAAACCCTTCAGTTCTTTCTTAGATAAACTTTTTGACTAAGGCAAGAATTTAGATCTTGCCTTGGAATATATACACAGAAATAGACTGCATGGTCTCACTTTGTAAGCTACTGCCACTACAAGGCAATAATGTATTGGTTACAGTACATCCACAGTGATGTAATTAAGCCTTCCCATAGCTCTAAAGTATTCCTAATAATCCCTCATTAGCCACAAGCTCTTGTCACTCATACACTTCCCAAAGTTTTGTTGAACAGAAGGCAGAAAGGAAGATGATGGAAAAATAATATTAATGATGTTTCGAAGGAGAATCTGTATGTGAAAACTGGAAATTCAAGCCACAAAAGTGCTCAAAACAATTACTTGTTTTGCTTCTTTTCATTGCTATAGGACAATAAATAGAAATAATTTGCTGTCTAAAAAGTGGTATAAGAAGTGCTGTGGAGAACTTATGATGATAAACATAACAATTTTCATAGTACATGGATGCTATGAGTCTACAGGGGATTTTACTGCTCAGGTGAGAGATGTACAAGATACTTAAACCAGTGCACTGAACATGGTGTTCTTTTCCTTATTACACTCTTATTTTTCAGTTGTTTTGCTTTCACATTTTCTTTAATGCAAAAAGCAAGAGACATGTTTGAATAATCAAGATTTAGAAGAAAATTCTTAAGGCAGCAGCATGTTGGCTGCAAACCAACTAAAAAATATGCGTTACAATCCATGGTGAGAATATGAAGCAGTTGTAAAACTATTATTTCATTTGTGAGATTTTCTAGGTGTGAAATTCTGCTCTACTTTTTACACAGCATGTAGGCAGCATAAATGAAGGAACAGCTCTAACCCTCCTTATTCCCCAGCTCTAACTGAGCATTTAGAAACTAGGTCTGGCTTTTCTTTCTTTCCAATCCTTTTGTGACAGACAAAATTTTAGCTGACAGGAATAAAAAGAGTTCCTAAATATGCCTATAGATATCCTATTTATTCACACACAGGAAGTCTAAATAAGTTGTATTTGACATGGGAAGAGTAGTGCCCAGAGTAACTGAGGTTATGATGCAGAGCTTCACAGCACCCTTCTGACTATTATTTCAGCACTGAAAACAGTAAAAAAGGTCATTCTGTAATAAAGCATAGCATAATTTCAAAAGGATTTTGTGATATAGATCATAGTGTTAGGCCCTCTCAAAAAAAAACTGGCCACTTTCTAAGCAGCATTCCTGAATGACATATTCTTCTCATAATCTGAAGGACACAGTAAATTTGATAGTGATGGATAAGGTTTTTTTGTGAAATACTTTTCAGTGTTTATTTTTTTAAAAAGTCCTGCTGTAATAAATATATAATCCCCTGCTCCTGGCAATCAACAAAGGTGATCACACTGGCTCAAAGCACTAAAGCACCTCCCACCCCACAAAGTGTAAGCCTGATGTCTTACCATCATAATAATTTATTGTCTCAAAAGATTATAATTCCACAGGGAAAGGAGCTGGAGCTGTGACCAGAACAAGGAGCAGACTGTCATATATTAAAACTACAATTGTAAATTAAAGTTAATGCAGTGAAGAGACAGTTTAACATACAGAATGCTCAGTTCATTAGCACAGAATAATAAACTCCTCCAGAGGAGGCACATTCTGGACAGACTAGTGGACTGCAGCTCATGGATGGCACCACTTGCAAAAGAAAGCAACATGAAAACTTAAATTGTTCTTTCTCTCCTCTTAATTAGGTGTTTGCTACACTTATTCTGCACACTTATCTCATGCAGTAAAGAATTCACAGAAAATGAATAAAAATTGCACCTGTAAAGTTAGGAAAAGTTAAAATAAAAGACCCACCTTCTATAGAAGAATCTGCGTTGATGTAAGCGACTGCCCGTTCCTGAAGGACTTTGGCATTTTCCTAGGGTTGGAAATGTATAATTCTTATTTCCAATTAGTGGCATTTAGTCAAAAGCATGTCAAGTGCATTGTTTTTTAGAGCATTACCATTGAGATCTCGGTCAGGATAATTACTACTGTGTACCTTACTAATTATATTGTTTGAGGATGGGCAAATTCAGTACTCCTTTCTGGGACTTAATTTGTTGTGGACAGCATCCACAAAATGTAGGTGCTGCCTGCTGCATCACACAAGAGCAAGATGGAGCAGGAAAATTACCAAATAGAATTGTAACGCAGTAAAATAAGGCTATTACATGCATTTTAGCTCTGCACTTCTGGACTTTCTGAACATGCAACATGTGACTGAGGTCAGCCAGAATTCCTCCATGCTTTTAATCCCTAGTTTTCCATATGGCTCCCAGCACTGAACACAATTTTAACACTGATAAACTGAGCACTTCTGCCATCTACAATCTTCCATTTCAAAAAGGGATAAGTAAAAAAACACTGAAATTTTCTACTAAAATGCAGTTGATTGACGATTTTGAGACCACTAAGCATTGCTTTCATGCTAAATAAATGTATATAGACATCTTGTTTATTTTTTGCAAACTGGTAATTATGTTTGAAATTGATATTCTAATCAGTAAGTGGTATTTCATGAGATTTTGGCTTTGTGGGAGATATTTTAATTAGGTTAGCAATTGTTACTTAATTAATTCAATTTATAAACTAACTAATAATTTTGAAGTCATGTGAACTAAAAATTTAATTGGTGATTGATAATTAAATTAATATCTTAAAAAAAACCAGGAGAGGAGATCCTGCAAAAGAATATGATGGGAAGGAGCAAGACTGTACTTGCCTATATGGGGCCTTGTATATATGCAAAATAATATTTGCAGCATAAATAAATTCCTGTTTATGAGCAATGGAGATCATCTGTGTAGCAAAAGGATGCTGCCACAGTTGAATTCTTTCTGTTACACAGAAGATGGTGAATATCATGGGTTAATTTTCCTCGAGATTTAATACATGACAGATCTGGCAGCTGCAGAGAAGAGGAATGTAAGCTGTGAGGAATGTCTCTAGAGAAACTGAATCTAACTTATGTATAAAAGAGTAGTAATGCACACCACCAAGATGAAGCAAGGAAAAAATAATATTAAAAGACATGTTCAAATATGAACTGTGCTTACAATTTTCTGAACTTATACAGATGCCATTTCATGAAATAATGAATGATAGATTACTAGATACCAAATTATTACACAAAACCCATTAGAGAACAGCAGTAGCAATATTTAACAAATAGAACATAAGAAAACTCCCTAATTTATTAATGACTTGTTCAAGAGAAATTGATCTTTTAAGTATCATTTTTTCATATTCCTCCTAAGGAAAACAATTGTGTGTTTTTTTTTTTCTTGACAGCAGCTATCTGTATGCAGAGATATACAGACAAAGAAATCACAAATAAGGTTTTACATAAAACATATTTTTGCCACCAGTGGAGTTCAGGAGTTCAGGTGGGATGAAAATTTAATGCCAACTATTTAAAATTTCTCAGTAAATTATTTAAAATAATTTAAGTTACTTTTTCTTCATGTTTCATAAACCAGCAGTAAGATGAAGACATTGTTATAGCTGGAAGCCAAACAGTTTACGGTGAAAAAAATAGCGCAAATCTGAAGAAATAGAAATCTCAGCTTTGTTAACGGAAGAGTGATGGAATCCCCTTGGTGTTTGGAAACATTTTTCTGGGTTTGTTACCTCCTCTGACATGTGCCATTTTGCTATGTAATTTTGTGATTTGCTGAGTTACGTGCCAATAAACTAAACTAAAAAGATTATTTTTTATTTTATAAATTCTGAAAGCTCTATCCACACAGCTAAATATTAACCTGTAAATAAAATTCTCATAGAAGAATAGGACAACACATTTCTGTTAAACTATTCAGTACTAATAAATTGATATAGTTTAGCAGAAATGTGTTTCATCAGGCAATTTTCTTCCCACTCTATTTCTAATTTGGATTTTACAGACAAAGCAATGAAAACTCTGTTAAGACCTATATTTATTATTGAGGTTGAACAAATCCACTAAGGACTGAACATGCCCAACAGGAAAAGGAAGATATAAGTATTCAGAACCTCACTTCTAAATTTCCCATCATTCTTCCCTCAGACAGGAAAAGGAAGATAAAAATAACATGCCCAATAGGAAAAGGAAGATAAAAATACCCAGAACCTTACTTCTGAATTTGCCAACATTCTTCCCTCAGACAGGTATATAGTTAGGGATCCTCCTACAGAATTAATTGACTGTCCTGCTCCTGAGACTCTACAATGCTGGAATTCACAGGAATTTTGATCTATTCACTCACAGATTCTTTCATGTGCCCAGTAGGACTGACTTTCATACAAAGGCTTGGCATGCTTATGGATCAGAGGTTCAGGATCTGAACTTGAAATTATAGAAATTAAGGAATTTCTCAATAGAAAGTTAGAGCAATCTGGGTTAAATAAAATGCTATCATTCTGTTAAATGACAAGATAGATTTCCACACAGAGACCATTGTGGGATATTAAATTTGAATCAAAGTAGATTTTTAAATCTTAGAAGAGTTTAGTGCACTTATGTTGTAAGAAGCTAGGTAGGTAGGTAATTTATATAAATACATGAGTGCCTCACAACACCTGAAGGAGTCTGTTGTGCTCCAGTTTTACCATGGAGTTTTTGATTGCAGTTTAGGAATAGATCCTGGGTACTGCAGTCACCTGCAACACACTTTCAAGTTTTGCTTTGCTTTACATGGCTTTTTATTTACCTCAGCCCACTCTGTGGAACCCAATAATCCAAATTCTTCTGCATCCCAGCTAGCAAAAATAATAGTTCGCCTAGGTCTCCAACCTGCAATTACATATTTAAACTTGAAAATTTGAGTTATACTTTAAAAGTCTACTGACCATAATTAATTGAAATTGCTTTAAAAACAGAACTTAACTGATATAACAGTAAAAAAAAATCCTCTGTAAAATCATTAGAGCAACATATTATTGCAGAGGCATTTCTTCTTAATACAATGTTTTCATTCTGCACAGCTAAGAGGGTACCATTACACTCACAAGGGAATAAATTCAGCCAACTAGCATGCAATGCCACATATGCATCTCTTCAATGAATCTACAACTTTCATCATGAGAAATAAAACTTTCTGTAGAGGTGAAAAGTTAAATCAATACAACAGCTTATGGAAGCACCGATCCTCAAAGCTGCTGTTTTCCATATCCATAATTTTACATCTGTAATAAATAAGTTACCTTCCATCTTAATTTTACCGAAACTCCTTACAATTTCTTGCAGACCAGCGGCACCGGAGGTTGGATCAATACCACCAAACACCCAAGAGTCTCTATGACCACCTAAAATAATATATCTGTCTGGAAACAAACATACAGTATCAATTAATAATTAAAAATGCACTTGGATTGCCTGTGATTTCCTTTGACTGCATCTTTACTTGTATGAAATCAAATATGAAGTTCAATACCAGTGCTACAAGTTTATTTTTTAAGGGAATCTGCAATCATTCACTTACTCTACTAAAGTCTGCAACTAAAGACAATAAATATTTAATAAATATTTTTCCATCTAAAAGTCTTTGTTGTGTATGACCTGCTACAATAGTATAATGTATCAATAATATATCAATAGTATAATGTTAATGTCCCAAACCATCACTAGCTTTCTGTAATTTGAATTACGTTAATTTTTGCAAAGGCAAAATGTATTACTGATGTAAGGGAAAGCCTACTGTAAAGTGACAGGCATTATAAAAAAAACATCCTCCAATGTCTATCCCTGTATATTAAAGGGAATGCTATTCTTGGGAATGCCAATAACAAATATTGGAAGGACAGAAAAACTACTAAAAATTTCTCAAGACTCTGTTATGTGGTTATCTAGAACACTTTAAGTTTCTTACAACATAAGTACAATTTCAAAAAATACAAAAGAAAGAAGGAATTAAAGTCATCAAGCACCTGATGCTCACCTGGTTCCAGAGCTCCTCTGAGGATGCCAATGACATTGTAAATTCGTGTTATTTTATTGCTTGTATGAACATGCATTCTGACTTTTCTGAAATGAAAGGGAGTGTGGAGTAACCATTTCTGATTAATAAGACAATAAAAAGCCAATGCTAATAACACATATACCAGAGAGTTTGTGCTTCTGCCCTGCTTTGTGTTTTCAGCACTGATCCAATGTGTGTTCAGCACTGTCATGCTTTCTCAGAGACCCATTTTTTATTTCAGTTTAGCCTGTTGCTGATGCTGTAGAAAAAAGCCTACAAGCTGGGCCAGTCTACAAATTTGCAAAGATTTACAGAATTTATAGAAATTTTTTTTTATATGAACAAATCAGGTAATTGTAGACTAGAGGAATAAACTGAAAAACATGCACAGTAATTAAAAATACATCTACATGTTGACCAAAATTATAATTGTGGATATGCAGAGGTTTATAAAGAATACATTTTGGTTTCCTAGCACAGGTCCATGAAATAATACAGAACTTGGAGAAAAGGTCATTAGGAATATTTATTCAGGAATAAACTGAAATCAGTGTTTAGGACAGCAGAACTAAGTGAATAAGATTTGTCAGTCACAGAATCACAGAATGGTTTGGGTTGGCAGAGACCTTAAAGGTCATCTAGTTCTAACCTCCCTGTCATGAGCACAGCATCTTCCATTAGAGGTAGAAAACCCCCTACTAGAAGCAGGGGGTTTTTTTCCCCTATCCCTCACCAGTAAAATCCACTTGTGAAATTTTATTAAAAAAAAGGGAATCCGAGTATTCCAAGAGATAAAGCTAACACAGTGTTCAGCCCCCTTAAGTTGTGGAAGAAACAAAGCAGCAAACAATGGGGGTTTTTTGTGTCTGGCAAAACCTCAGGAAATACACATTTGAAGTTGTCTTTCCAGCAGCAAATCTGCATAGCTGTCAAAATCAAAACCTACTTCAGGACAGCCACTGGATCTTTGCCCAGAAAGTAACAGGAACCAGTGCCTTGAACATGCATTTATGTGCACACTTTCCATGTGCATGTGGGTTTTTACCTAGAATCAAAAGGTTCATTTTGATATGGAATTACTTTGAGAAGAAAGTATGTGTAGAATTAATCCATATTTACAAAAAAAATGTTACTCTACCAAGTAGGAAGCTGTTAAAAAGTACTCAAAAATACAAGTTGCGTGGAGGAATCATATTGTTTTCTCACTGTTGCTCTTCAGGATACTCCAAACATCACTGTAATTATGCCAACTATGTTTTTTTATTTATTATTCCTACTTTACTAATTTTCAGTTAGTGTTAAAGCAGAGCAGAAAAGAATAATGATAAATGAAATCTCTATAAAATTCTGTATATATTCAGATATACTTTTGTTATGCAGGAGATGGAGTAGTGATGATGATACACCATTTTTACACACTGCTCATTGAGGTCCACTAACAGTCTTCATTGAATAATACCTCTTGTAAACTGAAACTATTTTTATGTGGAAAAGTCACAGAATAGTGATCTGTAGCTTTATTGCAATTTATTGCCAAATGTCATTGTCATGTAGCCTGATCTGCTCATTTATAATCTTTTTCTAATGTAACTCATTTTCGAATTCTAATAATTATCTCCCAACGTATCCCTAGCAGAAGGAAGTAAATATCTCCAGAGTATCTCTAGATGTATTACTTCAGAGTCTTTTCTCAGAGGGATTTTTTTTTCAATATTGTATAAACAGGAAAGTCTTAAAACAGACCTTGTAGAAGAGTTGCCTGTGAATCCTGGCCCTATATTATAAGGCACATTGAGACTTCCCTTCCAGCTGCTGTCTGGAGCTGCACGTCCTCCCATTGCACTGTGAAATGGAAACCAATACAAATGCAGTTGACCATTAGGATGAAACCTTAAATTATCTTAATAATTATTGCAGCAAAACCTAGGTGGTTTTACAAAATTCTTAAAAGCATTATTGCAAAAACAGAATGCTTTTAACTTTCCACATTTTCTGGAATGACTACGTTACTACTACAATAATTACTACATTATTACTTCTAAATTACTTTCATTACTACAAAAGAGTAGCAAATGCAAGTAACAACATAGATTTTGCCATCTTAATATGAAAAATTTGTCTGCACATTTGTCAATACTGACTTCTGGAAAGGAGGACAGATGTATACTCACCGCAGCAATACTTCTGCATCGTGATATCCAATGGGATGAACTGGGATTTTGGGGATCCCCACACCTTCATTAGCTTTGTACCTGAAAGTGTACTCTGAGAAACCAGAAAAAAAATGTCAACTTTATGGCGTTCTTAGCCACTTTAACCAAACTGGAAACACTTCTGAACAGAGCAGCCACCAGCATGCATGATTCTTTTTAATTCTTACATCATTTCTCACACACTGCTTCTAGAAAAAACAAACTGTAATGACAGAACAGCAAACCCAGTAATGCATCAGCACAGCAGTGCAAAATATGTCCCCTTGATGCAAGGCTAGATTTGCTGTCCCACCATGTTATACATGTTATATAACATCTCCTCCAAGCTGGCTCTGGGGAAACCAATCTGGTGTGTGAGGTGAAGATGGCACCTGTGCAGCTGCTTGACAAGGCTGCAGAGGACATCCACAGATGCATTTATCTGGGTTGAAGACAGCCAGTGTCTCTCTGAGTCTGCTGGGCCTGACACACACAACCTCTCCTGGGTTTAGGTTGTCTTATGCCCCCAGCAGTGGCCACACTAGCCCATGAGCTTTCCAGAAGCATCCCTGTTTAGTCATCCCATCAGCATCCAGTACTGGCAAACATCTTAGTTTTGAAAGACTTCAGGGTGCTCTTATTTTTGCTACAGGAATTTTATTTCCATTAAAAAAGTATTTTAAACCTTTTTTTCTGCCCGGAACTTATGATCAGCAAGTAGACATACCTCCAAGTAAAGCTATTAGTCCTCTTTGATAGCAAAGTATAACCTAGTTTAAAGCAGTCCTCTTGAGAAACACAGATATTTTTAAATGGCTATAAATTCTCAGTCATTTTCTGCTGCTTCCCAGACTGTAAACCTATACATTCTGCTTTTTTAAGTGTCACAAGGCTGGGGATATACAACGAGTTTCATAGAAACTTTATTCCGCTGCCTGAAAGCAGTTAGAATGACACAGACAGAACTTAGCGTGTAATAGAAAATTTACTGTCAATAAGAATTTCAAGCAGCTTTTTTTTCTGTGCATCTGTACTGAAAAGAAATTAACTTCTAGTGCCACATTTTCAACAGCAGTTTATAAAGTACTTGATGGCCCAGGCTACAGAATTTGCACTCACCTTTTGCAGGATAACCTGGTGTTAGAGGGTCCCCAGCTCCATTCAGATTTAAAACATTACCACGCTGGACTCCACCACCTGGAAGATTCCAGCCACCTGGATAAGCATCTACTCCTGGGGCACAGTAGTCAGCAGGGTCAGAGTAAAGTATGATCCCTTGGGCTCCTGCCAATATGGCATTTTTAACCTGCGAAATTATTTGGTTTTAAGATGCGGCTTTTTTTTTTTTTTTTTTTTTAATGTAGCCATAAATACGAACACTGTGATTTACTTCCATGCAGGCATGGTTTTAGAGGACAAGTATATGAAAGAGTGAAAATTACCCCAGATTCAGCAGAAGAACCAAGCACAGTGAAAGGCAATATGTTCATTTTTTGTGTTTAACCTTTAGTCATAGCTCAAGGCTATAAAATAAAGAACAGAACATAAAAAATGAGGCACAAAACCTTACCACCATCCCCACTGCCCCACTGTCACAAATTTTGCCAGATTGGTTGTCTAAAGTCAGAAGAGATAGTTACTCAGTTTCTGTGCATCAGACTCCTTGTCAAAATGCTACTATTTCAAAGTACTGCAGTTCTATGGATGGCACATATCAAAAGACTTGGCTCTACAAACTACTCAGTTCCCTAAACTGTTCTCATGCAAGAACTGCCTAGGGAGTTTGCAGTCATCTCTGTCTCAGGAGTTTAATACATTAATCTGGTTTTATTGTTTTGGAAGTTATTCTTAGACTGCAGTCACAATGGATACATTGCAGGCTTCCTTCTGCTCATATGTTCCAATGAACAGCCCTTACTGATTCCCTCAAGCTCTACCATGAACAATGTCTGACCCACAGAGGAGAAATTAAAGCACAACCCTTACTTTGTTTCCCCTGAAGATCTTCCCATATCTGGCAATGACAATTTTTCCTGTACAGTTAATTCCCATTTCACGCTCCAGCTTAAAAAAATCTTCTGTACGGGCATAATTCACATACACCAGATCTGCCTGGGCAGAAAAGCAATGTTGTGGCAAATGGTCAGTCAACAAAAAGAATACCCATTATCAGAAATAAAGTTCCATTTACTATGCATGACAGAGGATTTTAATTTTTTTTCATTTCTATAAATGAGATCCAATGCTCATAAAAACAATAGCAAAATATATCCACAATATTCTATAGGAAGCTTTGGCTCAAAATTCTCATGTTTGGCTATTATCCTGCACTTAAAAACAGTCCTAAAAGCAGGCTGGAAAATAAACCAGAGTACTTTGGGAAACTGAAAAACGTCTCTGGCTGTGACAAAGCAGTGGTATGCCTTACATACACACTTACTACTATGTAATTTCACTCATTTATGCAATTCAATTTTGTCCCTAACCTGTTCCATAATGAATTAGCAGATTAAGTGAGGACCTTTTATGGCCTTTGAAGACATTCATTTAATCTAAAATGTCTTCCACTTGATATAAATATTAATACTTCTACCTGTTTAAACAAGTCCTCTATATATGACTGAATAATATGGAGCAGTCTGAGATGTATCCAAAATTATTCATCAAGATAAAAACTTTTCACTTATTATGTAATTCAGAGTTCTAGCAATTAGAGAAAGCTCTTTTTTTGGTCATAAAATACTTCTAACCGTTGTATAATATGTGGCCTGTCTGTGCCTAAGTGCTCTATAATTAAGACAAATGGTAATTAAAACTACTGCAACAAATATTTTGAGAAGTTGGAGCAATCTGTCCCAGAAAGTGTTTCAAAAAATAGGTAATAGTACCATTACATAATTTCTTTTCTTACCTCTGGCACTCCTTGTGCTGAAAAAGCATTATATGGTGGTAGTATATCAGTAACATTTTCATACCCCTGTGGAGGTGGTTCAAACAATGATGTATTGAAAACCTATCAAAAAAATAACAGTAATTTTTGGTCAAACATTCTAGGCACAAATTCACACACTAAGCAAATGCTAATTATAGTTTAAACTAAAGTCGGAAGAGACAGTAATTAAGTTTCTGTGCATCAGACTCCCTGTCAAATAATCACTATTCCAAAATACTGCAGTACTATGGATGAGTAGTACTAAAAGCCCTGGCTTTTGCCAAGTTAGTTAGCTTTGTCAGCAGTTTAAATTATAGTTTCCATAAATTGATAGCAAAAAATACAGTTCTAACTAGTACACATAAGTTCAAACAAAACCACAGGTAGGGATCCAGAGCTGAAATATTGTAATAGAAGGCAGATATGAATACAAAGAGACAGCTCATGTGTCAGAAGATGCTCATCAGCCACTGCCTGAACCTAAGGGAAGAAAATTGTTGAAAATTGTCAAGAGGTGGTGACATGAAAAGACATCTGGTTCATCCGTGCTATCCCAGGTGTCTTTTTTGGTTTCTCCCACCTGCACTATTATTCTTTCTGTCACTTGTCCAGTAATACTCCAGTTAAATGTGCTATCTTTTATCCTTATGCATTGTAACACTCATGTTGCTTTAAGGTGCCTGTCCACCTTTTGTCACCTTGTGAGATTGTAGCTGAGCTACTGCTACAGAGTTTCTGGAAGAACTTCATTTTTTGACCTCTAAGCTCATGTCATCCCTGGTCACACATTCCTTACTTTCTACCCTAGTTCTTCATCCTTACCTATGTGCTATGGTGCTGCTATTGTAGTCTCACCTCCTCTCCTTGCTCAGGATCCTTGTCAGAATTTACATCTACTTCTTTATTTACATCTACTTTTTTATTGTATTCAAAAAAGGAGATGCCTACAGACTGACGTGTTCATTAGGACTTCCAACTCTAACTTAGGAGACACCATAGGTAGTCAGTGGGATCAGGTTCAGAGCAAGGGAAACATAAAATTGATAGTATTTCTGCAATTCCTTACCTCAGCCTGCTGTGGAAGGAAATATTGTACAGATGTTCAAGCAGAGTTTGGATAGGTACTTGGAAGAGAGATGTAATGAAGGTTAATGACTGGATAAATACTTGGAAAATGTCTAATGAGGATTTTTTCAAGAGACTAATTGCAACACATTCAGAGAAGCCCTGAGCTGAAAACAGCTAGACACTGGAAGAACTGCATGCCTGAAATACATATTTTTGTTCTTAAACCTCCCTGTGCATCCACTTAAGGTTGTTTATGGAAAGAGGATACTAGCCTAGATGGATGCTTAGGCTGAACCCTTCTAAAACCTTATGGTCTACTGATGTTAACTGCAGCCTCTCCACACATCCTTGCTCTTCTGTATGAGGCACTGAGATCTCAGCCACTTTGCTGTGTTTTCTGCATAGCCTGGAAAACCATTTCTAAATATGAATTCCCTTTGCACTGGATTTTTTTTTAAATAGTATAAAGCACATGCTGAGCTGAGTAGGTGAGAATACAGAGGAAGACACTTTTTTTAACAGGAAATCACTGGAGGTTTTTTATGTTTTACATCAACATAGTTTTGTCATTGAAAAGATCACCTCATTCCCTTGATCATCAATTAGTGAAATGTAGTTTGGCTGCTCTTCATTTGGGTATGAAAGAAGCACATCATAATTAACAAGTTCTGCTGAATCCAATCCAAATTCCTTCCACTGGCCTTGAATTTTTTTGGCAAGAAGAAGATTCTGTTCAGTTCCTGCGAGGTGAGGCAGCTTGGTAAATGAACTAGAATAAAACAGAAACCCACTGGTAAGCAGCAAATGCAGAGATACACAATAGTGAAATAGGATCAGTGTGTATAAAGCTGATCTTCAAGACAGATTGCATGGACAGTAAGGTCTTAAAGCTTGAGCTGTAAAACATGATTGCTTATCAGAGTCGGCATCAGGATATGTACAAAATATACTCGGAGCAGAGGATCTTTCCTGAGGCTTTAAGATAAGTCAACTGAACTTTTTTTCTTTGCATAACAGGAATAGCCACATCTACACACAAGCAATGAAAATTAATGTCAAAGATTCAGCAAAACAATATTCGCAGTATGCAAGAAGCAGGAATAAATACAGGAAAGCTACATATTTCTATATATACAGAAAGGAGCCTTCCAGATAATTCTAGTATCTGATCATGGATTTGTACTGTTGTCATAGCATGTCCTAATAAGTTTAACTTGAAAATCATTATATTAAATTATCTTCACAGATTTTCTCTTTTTTTCTTAAGTAAAACCCTGAATAACTAAGCCTTCTTAACAACATTTACTTCCATATCAGATATAACACATAATGTTGATAAATAGCCACAAACTGAATCCAGTCCCTCTGGGCTACCCTACAGAAGTCAGTATACAATTTGTTTGGCCCAGTAAACAAGGAAAGAAAGGTGTAAGCTCATCAGTCAGCCAGGTACTCTGCATCAGCTTCCAATTCCCAACAGGCTACTTGTCAATGGCTGCCACACAGATATCAGATACCAGCAATTACCATTAATTAGTGGTAGCAAATACCATGATTACTATCACTTCAGCCTGTCATTTCAGACTGTTTTCAACCCTTGTTCTGCAGTGTGCACTTCCTCAGCTTCCAAAGGAGAATGATGAATGATGTCCAAAGCCATGTTAAAGTCAAGGTTGTTACAGCTACTATAATGTCTCCACTCACGCATGTAGCCAGTCATTTTCTTACAGAAGGCAACATGCTGACCATACAAAGTAGTAAATAAATACTGACTCTTCTGAAGTATATTTCTGTCCTTCATGTGTTTGAAAACAGACTCCAGAAGGATGTTCTGTCACCCTTCCAGACCTGAAGCTGACCAGCTCAGTGTTCTTCCAGGTGGTCCTTATTAAAAGAGGGGCACAACATCAGCCTTTTTCAGCCACCCGGGGCCTCTTGCAGCCATCAGAATTTCTCATCTACAGTAGACAACAACTTTTGCTCTCTGCTGTTGTTGTTCCTTCTCTTAAACTCTGACGGTGTGCACTAAAATCTGGAAGCAACCTTTGCCAAACACTGTTGCTTGTTTGCTTCTTGCACTTTAATTCTCACTAGTATTTTAAGTACCTTTTAATTCTTTAAGTATACTAATTATGAAATATGCCATCAGGAAAAACACACAAGTTTTTTTTTTCAAATTTTCCCTTCCAAACAGTTTAATCCTTTCCAGAGCTCTGATACAATGCTAAAACCAAAGCATCTACATTTTCTGAGACTCATATTTCTTTTCCCCACATGATAAAAGCAGATGTAGTAGTCTGAAAAATGAAGAATACAGATCAAAATTCTCAAATTCACATTTTTTAATGTTTTTGACAAACATTTTGGACAGTGTGTTAATACAATTTCTCTGCATTTCCTGATTTTTATTTTAATTTAGGCAAAAAAAAAAATGCTCCCCAACCAGCATGAAGTATTTGGCCCATCACCAAAGCAAGCAGACAAATGAGAAATCATTAACATCCCACGGCCAAGAGACTTTGGCCTAATTACAGAGCTATCTCATGCTATGTTGCCTAGATTCTCACTCAAACATAATTTTCAGGAACTCTCCAATCTACTGAAAGAAATGAATACAAAATAAGATTATGCCTGTATACTTGAAAAGCTTATTGATGTTAGGTATGAAACCTTTTGGGTTTAGAATAAATGTATAGAAATCAAATTTGTCAGTAATCCTTTGATGTTCTTGATGCAGCTGCTGGCTTACATGCTGAATACAAACATTTTACTAACCAGAGTATTTATTTACTTTTCATGTGAGCATATTTGTTCTGCTATACAAAATATAAATACAGAATAATGTGGGTTTTTTTCATTTTCAGTGGAATGGAAAAAACAAAAGGGTATTTTTATATCCCTAGTATTTTAGATGTTTTTAAAGAACTGCATGGATGCACCATGATGCAAAAAAGTATATTTACTAGTAGTTACAACATGCAAGCCTTTACCAACCATACATGCACACTGACCATGGACACGGCCCTTTATCTCTGAAACAAAAGACAGGGTATAATGGGATGTCAGAACTCCCAACTAATAGCACATTATCCACTATGGCCACACTAAAGGAATTATAATTTGTAAGTTTACATGCAACTCCGTGCCATGCAAATTTGTAGCATTAGTTTTTAATAGAATCATTTTCTACTTAGACTAGCTAATCAAACTGAAAGTTTAAAGAGACACTGAACAGATGATCAGTGAGATGTAATTCATGGCAATCATCGCATCCCAAACAGAGTAAAATCATCTATGTCTGAAAGAAAACAGTTATCTGAGGTTAGAGCTTCAGATACTTGTGAAGAAAAAATAAAAAGGCACACTCCATTAAATCATGAAGACTAGTAAGCACAGGCAGTAATGCAGCTGAGGGAAATACACTTGACAGTATAACCACTTCAAAATAGGGAAGTGGGGGGAACAGAAGAGTTGTAAGCCTCTCCTTCTTCCCTCAGACATTCTGTACAAACTAAATGCTTCCAAAGCATCTTAAAAGCTGTGCTTTCAGAGGTCCTTCCTTGGAACTGATGTTATCACTTTCTTTTTTGGATGATAAAATTGTTCAAAAAATGATGCACAAAGCTTACCGAAGAAATTTCCTGATGTTCTCTGCTTTCATTTCAGCCACAAGTTTCTGTCTCACATTTTGACGCACATCTGAAAAGTTGGGGTTTTTCTCGGTCAGTTTTGTAAACCATCCTGAAACACATTTGAAAAATTTCCTACTTAGCAAGAATGTCCTCACATTATTGAGCACAGGTGCAACCTGTGGTACTAAACAGTTAAAACCATAAGGAGGAACAGGGCTTAGAGCACCCTCTGTCAGTGTCTGAAGGTTCAAGCAGAAAAGTGAAATTTATTTAAATTGTCTGAAATGCCTAAAAGTGATATAATGAAAAGAGTATACCCTAAATCCCTGGTAAATACCCTTTTAAGTTAGACTCATCTCTCATTAATTTTAAACTATAGTTTAAATTCTCAACTGTTTGTAGTGTGAGGTTTGAATTCCTGATACTCATGATGAAATTACTTTATTTAGTTTATGCATAGATTTTAAAATAGGTGTGTAAGCATATTTAAAGTGAAGGTCTAGGACTCAACAGCCACCCTGCCAGCATTTTAATAGTTACAGACTTGGGAAGGGTGGGGTTAATCTATTTAATAATTAAAAGAATAAAGTTAACTGTCACCCAAGCCAGTTTTAAAATGTGTAGTAGGAGAGGGTATATCAACTTGATGAGTTTGTCTTAGGAAAAAAAAAAAAAACAACAACGACAAAAAAATCCTTTTATTATTTTAGCCAGACAATCAGAATTGGGAAAATTTTCATAAGAAAGACAAATACATATGCTGTCATGTGCACAGTGTATATGACCTGCTACACTTAAATACAATTTTAGTAACACTCTGAACTGAACAGTGATGCTTAATCAGACTTAAAGTCCATCTCGCCCAGTATCCTGTTTTGGAGCTGGGCCAAAAGATATTGTTCAGGGAAATGTATAAGCATAGCACAAGGACCATAAATTAGCAGCTCAGGGATCTCCAAGATTAAACTAATATTTTATATATTTAATAGCCCTCATGGATTTTTCTTTCATGCTTTAGTGTTAGGTTTGTGTTACAAGTTTAAAAAAGGACATGCAATTTTAATTTGAAATCAAATGTTGCAAGTGACTTCAGAAAAGAATCTCTAGTAAAGTTCATTGTGCATAATGAAAACTTCAGTAACTTGGCTGTCAGTCAAACTCCTCCTCTACATTCTACCCTTAATTTCTAAAATAGCAACAGAATAGGAGGATTTAAAAATATCTTCAGGAAAAAACAGGAAATAATAATAATAATAAAATATCTGGGAGGTCTTGCAATCGCTGAAGTCTCAAACTCTTGCACTAATCTTTTCTTTTTGAATGCCTGGCTGCCTCTTTTGGGAAGCTGTCAGTTCACCCGGGCTTGTGCTGAGCTGAAGCACAGAGCCGCTCTGTTCCTCACTCCCTGAAGGCTGAAACTGCTGGACAGAAAAGCTTAGAAAAGCAGTGGGACAAATACTTAATCATGCCTCTGAAGAGTAGAGAACCTCCCTGCTGGTGAGTGAATCACAACAGGGATTGCACACAGGCGTGTGCAGCGGAAAGAAGCTGGGGGCTGAGCCCCTGGTCTCCGTACTCACCTGTAAGAAAGCCCAGCAAGAAACAGCCGAGCAGCCCAGGGCACACCAGCCACACACGGAGGGTGGCCCTGCTCCTGCTCCCGGCCATACGGTCAGCACTGGCCGGCAGCCTGGCAGGCTCTGGGACTGGCGAGCAGCTATCTTCTTCTTCTTCTTCTTCTTCTTCTTCTTCTTCTTCTTCTTCTTCTTCTTCTTCTTCTTCTTCTTCTTCTTCTTCTTCTTCTTCTTCTTCTTCTTCCTCCTCCTCCTCCTCCTCCTCCTCCTCCTCCTCCTCCTCCTCCTCCTCCTCCTCCTCCACCCGCAGCCCCAGGGCTGTCCCTGCCTTCTTTGCTTCTCAGTTTTCGTGCTGACTAAACAGCCTTAATCCCTGGGTGATGGTGATGATACGGTTTTCCAAATACAATTAAACTCTTCCATTTCTTAGTCTCATCCCACCAGACAGCCCCTGTGCAGCTAGCTGGGTGTTTATCTCTGTAACAAATATGTATCCAGGCTGTGCACCAAGCAATGTACATGTAGTCTTTAAGATGCTAATTTCTACTAATTATTAGGACTTCTTGATTTTGAAAGTTTTGAAAGTTCCTGATTTAGGCTTATTCTCAACCTGTTCCAGTGGAAGTGGCCAAGGGATGAAATTAAGGGAAAACTTATTTCTTCTTTATCAACAAAATGCTGAATTGCTTCCCTTTTTAATCCCTGGTAGCATTAATCCTTAACAAGGAATGTATACTTACAGCGGCTGAGAATATAATTTAGACTGGCCAAACATCATCCAGTTTGCAACTAGGGAAAGTCACAAATGTATTTCCTATGTTCTCTAGCTACTTGCACTTAAGATTACAAGGTTCTTAAGTTTTCCTAGTCTAATTTAGTCAAATCCATCAGTATCTCATGGGGAAGGAAACAACTGCAGCCCAGGGAATAGACAAAAGATACATCCACAGAATCATCACATTTTGCATAAACTTCCTCTAACCTTGCACATCACTCCCTGCTGCTGAGTCCCTTCATGGCTACATGGAAGCCAAGACTGATCTCTTGTGGAACTGAGAACCTGCCCATTTGAGACCAGTTATATGGCTGAAGGCAGGAAAACTTTTCTGGGAGCCTGGGCATGCTCCAAATTCCTACCACTCACTCCCAAAGTCCAAAGTAGATACCGTTTGTGAAAGAAATGTCAGTATTCTGAGTATCAAAACTTTCTTAAATACATTATGATGAGTTGAAAATATTCAGAAAAAGTAGGAAAAACTGGTTAATGTCCTAATTACTTAAACGAAGGCTTTTCAGAGAAAAATTACACCACTTGGGTATTCCACACCAGTCACAGCCACTGTCTTAGGCACAGGGCTGGATGTCTTTATTCAAATGATAAGCAGGTCCAGTCCTGTGATTTTTTCCTGTCATTTCCCAACTGCTTATAAACCATCACAAATTCTGAACAGCAATGACATTTCACACCAGCATCTGAATTGACATATACAAACCAGATGGAATTCCACCTACAGAACTCACAAAGAATGAGCATATTGATGTATTATTAGCATTTATATAGCACCACAGGTGTAGGACTGGCACATAATAGACAGTAAAGTGACAGGGGCTTTTGGAGATTGCTATCAAAATTAGACCTCACATGATAATAACATCAGTGGAGGAAGAAGGTAAGAATAGCAACAGTGAGAATGTATGAAATGCATTTATTTCTATGCAAACGTCTTTTTAAAGTGACAAGGGCATTAGCAATGCTGAGGTTGAACAACAAGCAGCAGCCAAATGGCTTCTACCACTTAAAATACAGCCCTATCACTATTAGTTATTAGTTGTGATATGTTCTTTTATGCCATGGATTAGCCACAGGTGGAGTATATTATGTTACAATTAATTGCAAGGATAATGTACAGTGTAAATCTGTCCTCAATCACATGCCCTCCTCAACAAGACTGGGGCAGGAAATAAGATTAAAAAGCTCATGGGTTGAAATGAACACAGGGGTATCCCTTGCTGATACCATTGTTAACAAAACAGATTCCACTCAGGGAAAAGTAATTTATTACAAATTAAAGTAGACTTGGATAGTGAGAAACAAAGGCAAAAATTAAGACATCTTATTCCACATTGCAACCATTTTTTTCAGTTTAACTTTCTTTACTCCCAACTCCTTTGTGCCATAGGGTTTCCCAGTGCAACACAAGGGCCATCCTGAGACCAGGCTAGACATCCTAGGGTATCTAAGGTGTGATAAGAACCTAACTTTAGGCACTTGAATTATTCTGCACTGAGAGTGTTCATTTTCTAACAGAAAAACAGCCAGTGTCATCTGGGAGCTCATAGTGTCCTAAACTTCCTGACAGAGCAAACCTGTACAGGGTAGCATTTGTGTCCTGCTATGGGGTAACAGCTACTGGCCAGGTGAGGCTTCTGAATACTGCTCTATGCAGCCAGGGTGCTCACCATGGCCTGCACCATGGGCTCCAGAGGAATCTCTGCTCTGACACTTGCAGCACCTCCTTCCCCTCCTTCTGCACTAACCATGGGGTCTGCAGGGCTGATCCTCTCACACATTTTTCACTCCTCTCTAGTCTGGCTCCAATTGCTTCTGCACAGTAACCTTCCCCTTCTAAAATCTGTTATCCCAGAGGTGCTGCCACCACCACTGATGGGCTCAGCCTTGCCCAGCATCCATCTTGGAGCTAGTTTGCATTGGCTCTGTCAGACATGGGGGAAGCTTCCAGGGCTCCTCACAGAAGCCACCACTGTAGCCCCTCACTATGAAAACATTGCCACACAAACCCAATACAGATGGGGACAGCCTTTTTAGTAGGGCCTGTTGCAATAGGCTCTACTAAAACTTAGTTTAGTTTTAAACTAAAAGAGGGTAGATTCAGACTAGATATAAAGAAGAATCTTTTTTACAGTGAGGGTGGTGAGTCACTAGCACAAGTTTCCCAGGGAGGTGGTGGATGTCCCTTCCCTGGAAATATTCAGAGTCATGTTGGATAGGGCTCTGAGCCATCTGGTCCAGTTGAAGATGTCCCTGCTCACTGCAGGGGGGAGAGGACTAGATGGTATTTGGAAGATGGTATTTCCAACCCAAACTGTTGTATTGTATTCTATGCATCAGCTTGGTGTGCTGTGGAGGCTGGTGAAAAGAGTGACATTACTACACAAGAAATTTTGTTTGTTGTACGCCTGGGATCATACCTATTTTATATACAAACATTCTGTATTGTCTTGCTGACAGGTTACAAAAGTATCCCTGAGTTATCTCACTTACAAACTCCTTGGAAGAAAATCAGCATATGAAGGCTGAGTAACTACCATTCACCTAGGTGAAACAGAAGTGAGATGAGGTTTGGTTGCATGCATACACACACACATACACACATTACTCAAACACAAAGCCAAAGTGTTACAAGTGCTCCTCAGAATAACTGAGTCAGAGAAAAATGATCTTGACATGTGAGATTGAAAATGAAGCATATCAGGAATGCAAAGTCACATATATGAGAAGCTGGAAGAAGCTGCTCCAACCCAAACATCATCTCACTCTTACCTGTTACTGATCATCTCATTTTGTACCCAAGGAGAGACCTCAGAGTTTTTGAGATGATCAGCAGCCCAAAAGACTTTCGGGTCCTTTGGGTCCCTTCCTGGTTATCACAGGCCACATCCATCAGCCACCCTGTTATTTTACATGGGGCTTTTCCAGCCAGAATGAAGATACTACCAGTGTCAGATACCTCTACAAGTGCATTGATGATAATAGCTGAGTATTTTGCTCAATTTTGAAAACACACACTTCAGTCTAAGTTTAATCAAAGCTTTGAGGCTAGAAGGAGGTAAGACCAACCCCAAGTAGTTAGAAAAATTACACAAAACAAATTGTGAAAAGATTACAGGATAAAAGGACTTCTTCCCTTAGCACAGGTGAGAAAAAGGGTCCAAACCATAAACTCCTGAACACACAGTACTTTAAATTAGTATCACTTTTAGAATTATCATGAAAATTATTAGTTATTGCATATGCCTCATGCTGAGTTCAGAGTAGTGAGATTGTTCGTCCTGACAGTGAAAACAAGAGTGATATTCAGTTGAAGCTAGAAGCACTTGCAGGTAGCAACATATACTCTACTCACCTAAAACACATAAATTGCTGGTAAACTAAAAAGCTGAAAAAAAATGGCAAGGATATACATACCAAATGCAAAACTAGAATGCATTTGTGTGTTGAATGCATAATTCTGCTATTCAGCCAATTAGTAAAGCCAGTAATAGTACATGAAGCACAGAATGAATGCCAGAGCTTGCAAACTGTAGGTTGTAGCTGCTCAGTAACTGGGCCCTAAAGCTTAATATCTGCAGCAAGAAAGATACACTACTGTTGTGCTGCTTAACCTACTGTCTGAATAAAGGTTGAACTTGCAGCTTGAGAGATCAAGGGACCCTGATCTGTGGGAAAGACAGCTCTGGCAGGAAAAATGGCAACAGGGGAATTCTCAACTGCAATTTCAAATCAGTAGTTTCCTTCTGACTCTGCCAGTTGCACTGAACTCTCTCACGGCCTCTGCACTCTTTCTATCAGATTACAGTGGTAGTAGATGTTGATTCCTTGTATCTAAGTCTTTATCTTGAGCTTCAGGAGACTATTAACAGACTCCAACTAAAAGTTTACATTGCTGGCAGCTGACAAGTGCAGCAGCGTGCAAACTTTGACCCTTTCTTCCACAAGAGAATGTACCCAGTGAGGCCGAGAGAGTAAAGGACTGTGCACTTCACCTTAAGGTCACTCCTCCTTGTCCTGTCACACATGTCCTTATAAAAAGTCCCCCTCCAGCTTTCTTTAGGCCCTTTAGGTACTGGAAGGTGCTGTGAGGTCTCCATGGAGCTTTTTCTCCAGGCTGAACAGGCCCAGCTGTCTCAGTCTGTCTCCACAGCAGAACTGCTCCGGGTCTGTGATTTAATGGTTCTTCTCCAGATTCCTTACACAGGTCTTCCTTACACTGGACACAACACTGCAGGTGGGGCCTCATGAGAGCAGAGCAGGGGGATAGAATACCCTCTCTCAGTCTGACGGCCACGCTTCTCTCGGTGAAGCCCAGGATGCAGCTGGCTTTCTGGACCACAAGTGCACTCTGACAGGTCACAATTAGTTTCTCATCCAATAACACCTCCAAGACTTTCTCATTAGAGCTGATCTCAATTCA